CGCCGAGTCCGCAGACCCGCCGGTCAGACAGGCCCCATGTGGCCCGCGTTGGGCGCTGAAACAGCTGGACCGGGAGCTGCTCCTGGAAGCCGCCATCGTGCAGGCCTGGGTGATACCACCGGTCAGGCCTGCCGACATAGACGATGAGGCCAAGTGGCTCCAGGACGCCATGTCCAGGATCTGTGACGTGGCGATGCCCCGGATCCGGTCGAGGCAACAAAAGCGCCAGGTGTACTGGTGGTCGCAAGAGCTAGCAGCTCTACGCAAGGCGTGCACTGCTGCGCGACGCCAGTACACTAGGCACCGCAGGCGCCGCATCCGTCCTCCTAATGCGGAGGCGAGAGAGGCGGAGTTGTACGAGGGATACAGGGCGGCCAAGGCCCTCCTCAAGGTGGAGATATTGCGGGCCAAGGAGGAGGCCCGCCGAGAGATGCTGGGGACTCTGGACAGAGATCCGTGGGGACGCCCGTACCGGATGGTACGCGACAAGCTCCGCGCCTGGGCTCCCCCGCTCACCCAGAGTCTCCGGCAAGAAGTCTTGGAGGAGGTGATTGGCACCCTGTTCCCTCGACTGTGGAGGGGGTTCACCCCTCCGTATATGACTCCGCCCCCTGCGGTGCCCGACGCGGGCTACAGCGACGACGACGACGACATCGTCCCAGAGGTGACCGAGGCAGAATTGAGAGCGGCGGTGCGCCGGATGGGCGCCAAGAACACCGCCCCAGGACCCGACGGCCTGCATGGCAAGGCATGGGTCCTGGCCTCAGAGGCTCTCGGGCCTCGATTGATTGGTCTCTACAGCGCATGTCTGGAGAGAGGCCAGTTCCCGCTTCTCTGGAAAGCGGGAAAACTGGTCCTCGTGCGGAAGACGGGGCGCCCTGCGGACTCTCCGTCCGCGTACCGGCCCATAGTGTTGCTCGACGAGGTGGGGAAAGTCTTCGAAAGAATCATTTCGAACCGCCTCGTCGCGCACCTGACGGACATTGGGCCGGACTTGTCGGACGGCCAGTTCGGCTTCCGCAGAGGGCGCTCCACGGTGGACGCCATCATGCGCGTTAGAGACCTCACGACGGGGACTGCAGTGTCCAGGGGTAAGGTCGTAGTGGCGGTGTCTCTGGACATCGCCAACGCCTTCAACTCCCTGCCCTGGAGCTGCATCTTGGAGGCACTCCGATATCATCGGGTGCCTACCTACCTCCGTCGTGTAATCGAGGCTTACCTGACGGACAGGTCCGTCAGCTACCCCGGTCACCGGGGCGAGTGGAACCGGCGAGAGATGTCACGCGGTGTTCCACAGGGTTCGGTTCTGGGGCCGCTCCTGTGGAACATCGGCTATGACTGGGTGCTGCGCACCGACCTCCCGAACGGCGTTAGCACAATATGCTACGCCGACGATACGCTGGTGCTAGCGCACGGGAGGTCACACCAGGCGGCGGCCGACTTAATGGCGACAGCGGTTGCGACAGTCGTTGAGAGAATCCGGCAGTTGGGACTCGAGGTGGCGCTCCACAAGTCCGAGGCCATGTGTTTTCATGGCCGCGGGAACGCGCCACCTCCGGGTGGGTCCCAAATAACGGCGGGAGGAGTTACCATCGGCGTCGAGACGACGATGAAGTACCTAGGACTCGTCCTCGACAGTCGGTGGAACTTCATTGAACACTTCCGACGTTTGGCTCCAAAGTTGGAGAGGACGGGGGCTGCGTTTAAACGCATCCTCCCCAACCTCGGGGGGCCAAACGCCTCCTGCCGGAGGTTATACGCCGGGGTCGTGCGGTCCATGGCCCTCTACGGCGCCCCTGTTTGGGCGCCTAACCTGTTGCGGCGTCCCGCTCGGACGCTGCTCATGGCACAGAGGGTCATGGCGATCCGAATGATCCGCGGATACCGCACGATCTCTGGGGAGTCGGCGAACCTCCTTGCCGGATTACCGCCGTGGGATCTGGAGGCGAAGGTGCTCGCGCGCGTGCACAGCATGCGCGCGGAGGCACGTCGCCGGGGCGAAACTCCGCTGCCGCGCCAGATAAGTGCGTGGCGGGATGAGCTCCGGCGCGATCTCATGGCGGAATGGCAGCAACGACTGTCGCAACCGAGGGCTGGGCTCGCTGCCATCGCAGCGGTAAGTCCCCTCTTTGAGGAGTGGCTTGAGAGACGCTACGGCGTCCTCACCTACCGCCTGACGCAGGTCCTCACCGGACATGGAAGTTTCGGGAGGTACCTGTGTCTGATGGGGCGGGAGGAAACGCCCGGGTGTCATCACTGCGAGGACCGCCCTGAGGACACGGTGGAACACACGGTGGGAGAATGCCCTTCGTGGGCTGAGCACCGCCGTGTCCTCAGGGAAGTGATCGGCGATGGCGACCTCTCGCGTCCGGGCCTAGTGCAGGCCATGATGCGGAGCGAGGGGGATTGGGATGCCGTCTCCTCCTTTTGCGAAGCAGTCATGCTAGCTAAGGAGGAGGCGGGACGCGTGAGGCAGCGAAGCGCTGCCTCCTCGCAACCCAGCCATCGCGAAGGACACACCGGGCGTCGGGGATCGCGGGACGATCTCCGGCCACCGTAAGCGCGGGCCTGCGGACGGCGAGCATGGGTGGCTCCCCGTCCGACCAGAAACAGACCCGAGCGTACGGCGCGTCGCGTTCCGCGCGCGCCTCAAAGAGCCATCAGACCACCACAGATGGGGCCCAATAGGGCCGATGCCGATTCGGAGTCGCGGAGAACCTAACGGGTAACCGGGGCTCCGGCTCGACGTGCAGGAGAAGGAACGGGGTGGTTTTTAGTCAGTAAGAGTCTGACACTCCCTCCCGCCTCACCCAGGCGGGGGCAGTCATTCGATGATTTTCCCCCCTTAAAAAAAAAAAAAAGTCAGTAAGAGTCTGACACTCCCTCCCGCCTCACCAAGACGGGAGCACTCAATCGATGATATTCCCCCTTTAAAAGAAAATTAGCATCTATATGTATATAGAGTAGGTATGATTTCGTTAAAAAAGTTTAATGTTTGTATTTTGTTTGAGTGGTTTTTGTATTTTGGTTATTGGTCTGGAATGGATTGTATGTAAAGGTAAATCGCAGGTATCTGAAATTAAATTCCGCTGATTGCATAAAACTGCGAATTGATATATTTTTGATTGCATTCTGGGATTAAAAAAGTACAAGCAGTAAGTAACAATAGTATAAATCTGTACAATTGCATTAATATGTAGGCAAAACCTGCTTGTTTTATTGTATTTATAAAACCTGTCCAAACACACACCTGCAAAGTTGTGTAGGTAGTTATATATATTTTTTCAAGTGAAACAAATTAGGCACTAACCTACTTATTATAAGCTAAAAGTTTAAGTTGAGCTGTAGGACCCAGGACTTTGGTAATTTTTAACGTAGGCACGAAATTAGGCGCAGTTTGCCGAGTGCCAAACTCTTAAACTTTAGTAAACTTCAGCTTATATTTTTTATCTCACTACAAAAGCTATGAAATTTTACTTTAGCAAGCTATTTAAAGTTTTCTAAGTACCTAGACGCTTAGACATGTATTTTTATAATGGTTTAACGAATTTCTATTAAACATTTAAGTATAAATATAAATTAATATTGTAACTATAAATAGTTAATTGATGACAATATATATAGAAATAATTTACTGAAAGTTACGAGTGTGTGGGCTGTTCGTCTACACCGAGTCGTTAATAAAGGTACCACAACTTATTATAAGTAATTAACTTCGTGCCAATATAAATTAATTGAACAAATATTATTGGGATTCTGTATGAAATTCAACTTTAGGCTTGATAGCTATGAGAGTGTAAAAGTAAGATAGTGATCTGACTTAAGTTCATCTCTGTTCATAGACGCCTATAACATAATGTTATACTAGCTTTTGCCCGCGACTTCGTCCGCGTAGAATATAAATTTTAGGACATTACCTTTTTTGTTTCTATTTTCCAAAATAAAAGCAGCCTATCTTACTCCTCCGTATATGTGCTACCTGCCAGTAAAAGTCCTGTGAAAATAGGTCCAGCTATTTCAAAGATAAGCCTGTACAAACAGACAGACATACAAAAATTATAAAAAAATGTTTTGGTAATAGCGGTTATTTCAATATTACCGACACAACATTCCAATTTTATTATCTGTGACATATTATTTAGTTAAGAAACTGGCTTTGGAGCATCCTATGCGAAAAGCAACAACTTTTTGTTGATTTTAAAGATACAATCAAAAGGAGTAATCGATAATGTCAAAGAAATCACTTAGCTTAACTGTCATGTCATGAGTCGTTAGTCATTCAGCCTAGTCACATACCTACTCGACTAGTTAAATCATTATCGTGATGTACAATTTGTTACGCTTTACTTTTCTAGTTCCGCACTTCTATTACAGGCAAAATATTTTAGAAAGGACTGTAATTCCATGTTATAGTTGTTGTTGTATTACCTAGCTACGTACTATGGTCTAATATCCTGTTTTTATTTAGGTATCCATGTATTAAATTATAAATCAGTAGACAAGGTTAACAGAGAAATTGCCAATATTTAACTCGTCGAGTACCGGTTTTGCAGACACAATTATAGAACAATAGGTTGCGGTCACCGGTGACCGCTTGGTATTTGACAGTTTAAATAGCCTAGAAACTAAGTACATATATAATATTGTAAAGAACTTAATTGCGTTGCAGTAATTTTCAGAAATTTTCAACAGGGTTGCCTCATTAGAAAAGGTATATTTTTTTTATTTCTGATAGTAAGCAATGCTAAAGTTCTATTGCTCACGAGATGGCGCATAAGAAGGATTGTTTCTCAATCACCGTAGCTGTCAAATATTGAACGTCCTATGGTGACAGGTGACACTGGCACACACAAAAATAAGGTAAGCCCCATTGGCGCCGCTCATTGACACTGCACATCCGCAACACTAGAGGAGTTACAGGCGCACTGTCGACTTTAGGGATTGGGTATTGGGGCTGCAGAAAAGGAAAAAACAGTTTCACAATGAATCCTTTCTCTTACCTGTTGTGAGCGTGGAAGGAGAGTCGCAAAGGTGGTGGCGGGGGCTCGGGCGGCGGCAGTGCGGCGCGCCGGAGCCGATGTCCGCCCACATGCGCGTATGCCGCCGGTTGCCAGTACCGCACGAACGGTGACAGTGACAACCCTGCAACAAATACAACACATTTTAACAACACTGAAACTAAAAATGTTGCCTCTTATTTATCATAAGGGTCTAATAGACAACAAAGAAATTGTGGCGAGTCACTCATTATTTCGCATAAATTTATTGGATTGACAAGTACATATAAGTATACACATATGTAGATTTATTTGTAAGGAGTTGCGTACATCGCAGTGTAAGTACGTACCTAGTGAACATTTACACGAAATTTTATTATTGTTGAAACAAAAGCCTCCGTGGGATTTTTAATTAAAATTTTCGAAGTGATAGACTCCTGATAAATCATAATGATTGACGGCTTTTTAATGGAAGCGAAAGTATTAATGTAAAAATGTAAATTTCCATTTATAAATACATTGGACTAATAAATTAATTTAAGTTGATATTAATTAAATTTTCGTTTAATTTTATAGGTACGTTGTTTATTTTATGTTTGGAGTATAAATCAGACGTGCGGTCTGATTTTATTTTAAAAATAACAAAATTTTTTGCTTAATATTAGATACGAAAACAAAACTTAAATTAATTAAAAAAGCATTAATACAACACAAATTAATTTCGAGACGTGTACAATTTACTAAGATTAATGTCTTATATTTTATGCTGCAATTTATCACCGTAGTAGACGGAAATATGAGTCTCAACGCCGACGTAATTGGAAAATCAAGTGCAATATATTTCCTAAGCCAACTTCTCCCGGGACTTTCCAAGGATTTACACGCGTCTAGGATTCACAAGTTAGCTTAGATTAGCGCCCGCCGACCGAATCGGAACGGGCTGGGGATTTATTGGAACTGTGCTAGTTAAACTGCATATGTTACAATGGTTTAATAAGTTTATCCTGTTGTTCTATTCTCATTACGCAAAGTTCTACATATTTATAGTTAATTCGATGATTAACTTTAACTTTGGTTCTAGTATTAAATCTATTAAAAAAAACGCATATGCTTATTTAACTCAGTTCTATTTACATTATGTGCGTTTTGGATATGAACATTTAAACAGTTTGAATAAAATGCATATAGTGAGGTACCTAGTAAGTACCTATCTATGTAGCTTTAAGATCGTTTAAATGTGAAGACAACTGCGATTTTCACCACGAAACTACCAAGTAGTAGCAAATAAAACTAGAATAATATAGAAAGTAGGTGTGCCATTTATTTAAATAATATGAAAGTTGTCTGAAAATATTGGCAAATGTAATGCACTCGTATGCTAGCCTCGTAGTGAATGCAAAGTGTATAATTTTTCGCGCCATTTGCCGATGAGCGTGGGACGTGCACGTTAGATGGCGCCAGCGCGAGGGAACGTGACTCCACCATTCCTGACTGGCAAACGCTGTAATACACTATGGCCAACTTCGCTCAAGTATGTACAACTTACCTAATTTCCAAGTCCTTTATTTGTTTCCGAATGAAGTCACAGAAACAATTCACAGACGAGAGAAAAAAGAATTTCTTTACAACTCTGGTTCAACATTTTTTTTAAGTTTCTACAAATTGGCAGTCTGTGCATACTGCTGGATCTCAATGGAGCCAATAAGACGGATCTTGGATGTAAATAGAGTTTGAATTTGTTTAATTCCCAGTCGTCTAGTTCCATTCAAGGATCTTTTCTTCGCACTTTCCGATTTCGGGGACGTAAACATTCTTTAGAAAGACGACAGGGTCACTTCAGGCTTACAAACGATGAATCTTTTTCAATGACATTTTTGAAGGCAAATTTAAATAGGCACATTTCTTTTGAAATGAAAATGTTTTATTTCAACGACCCATTCAATCTTTTAATCAAGTTACCAGAAGTTTGAATCGTGATTTAAGATATGATATTCAAAGTTCGTTTGAAGCATTGTATTCAAAGTTGTAAGACGTCGTCGTGTAGCAATCAAACGTTACATATTAACTTTCTCTTATCTTTTATATCATTGAGCTATTGTCATGTCAGAATACCTACCAGTCGGCATAGTTAAGATACGAGGGCGAAGTGATATTGTATTACGACTTCGCCTATAGACGGAGAGTCAACCCGAATGACGGGTTTGATTACGGCACCCTTCAATAATTCGTCCTTCTTCATTCACTAGTAATATAATTACGACTCAGTATTACTTGATTTTCTTCAAATATTTATTGCGATCGAGAACATTTTTTCTAAAATAGATCATATCAATTTATATTTAAGAAGATAATAATCATATTAATGGTTTAATCGAATCTACAGCGTTGCATTTTTTTTTGCTCTACATTTCCACGAAACAGTAGTCTCTATTTGCAATTTTTACCGAAAATAACAAACATTCAGGGTAAATCCCGTTACTATAGTTACGCGATTCGCACTCACGTTTATTTTATCGGGGAATAAATAGCTGAAGCGGATGACACAAGCACAGCACGTTACAGCTCACTTTACATACAGATTTAATTTGCCAATGTATCCAAGTAAAATATTCTTAAGTTACTAAAGTAAAATGAAGTTTCGTATAACCTTTATTTAAGTAACTTCGGTAATTATTACTTAGTTTAAATTGATCAACGTCGCATCCGTGAAAGCTGCAGACTGTAATGTTAAACTAGGTACATCTAAGGTGGCCGGTCTCCGCCTCGACAAAGAGTACCTATATTTAAGCTTCTTTTGAGACCTGACTGAACGTCGTTTTGCGGAGAATTACCTTTATTAGAGCTGAATAAAATCAATAGGTTCTCCCTCTGGCGCGGCTTAATGAAGGCCGCTTGAATGCTTATTAGCTCCGCTCAGTCCAAGAAAGGTTTAATGGAAAATCGGATTTTGCGTCGGCATTCTGCCATGGTCTATTTCAGATTAGTGCCAGTGATTAATACAGGCTGCGGCCCTCATATCTCCGGTCTGTCATGGACAGATGAAAAATGCGTCCGCATCAAATATCAAAGGGTTGATCTGGCGGTAGATGACTTTGTAGCGCGCCTTTGTTGTAAAACCGTTTGTTGTCGAACATTATATTGCTGTCATTTTTCACTTTGATTGTTTAGAATTCAAAATATGTAGAGTAATTCTTTGACCGCGGTTCTCTCCATTTCGGGAACGTGCCTTTGCTCTTTGAGTTATGTTTTTTAGAAAGACTGATATTGTTATCTTAATGAAGTCTTTTGTTATTTGTTCTCAGTAAAAGAGTTCCACTTTATCTTCATTAAACGTACATAAATAGCCATACGTCTGAATGTTGATTAAATCTAAAAAGTATACTTCGTAATGAGACACGATTTTCATTTTTGGCTTCTCTATAAATATTAGGGGCTATTGATTGCGAACTGTATGTATTACTTCAACATTCAGTGACACGGCGATCACTCTCACAAACTTCTAAAAGAAAATTTATTTTTAATGTCAAATTCATTTGTGAATTTATCGGTCTGGTGATTCTGTCTCGGAATGATTTGAATAAATCTTCATCAAATAAAAAGAAAATAAATAAATATTTCTTCAAACGTAAATTAGAAATATGGTTTTGCAAAGTTATACACGAAGCATTTCATGAATTGTGGAGTAGAACAGGTCAGTTTATTGGTTGGCAGTCTGTATGTACTCTGTTACCTTGGTGAGTGGTATAAGAGATCTTATTAGGGTAGCGGCAGTGCATCCGGGAGCTACGGACCACATAAATGGATTTTCCATTAGATGCAGTAGGTACTTACAGATAGAAAGAACACGCCGGCGAGGCGCAACTCTGAAGCACTGGTTTTGAATATATTCCGGAAAGTTATTGAAGCTTATCTTAACATCCGTAGGCTTTTCAACGAGTATTTTATCGGAGGAAATATTATTTATTAAGTTTGCAAAGGATTTTGGAAGGCTTTCGATTTTGGTTCAAATTTTAGAGATATTGCTAGCCTATACATAAATGATAAACTGTGGCATAAATAGTTTATAGGTATTTGTAACAAACTATGAGTGAAACATTTAATAAACAAATAAAAATAAACTGAATCTTCGTGTTTATCGATCGTATAAGCCTCCATAAAATATAAAGTAAGTAATATAGAATTAACGATGAAATGCGACCGAATTTATGAGTAATTGAATTACGGCCAGCGTTTATGAATACCGTACTTTATATTAATTTTATTCAATCCTCGAATAAGTATGAAAATTATGTTGTAACTTGTAATAATGGTGAACCTCTAATTTATTATACGTCCGCCCTGATTACTTCGTTAGAAGTTTAACAAACTTAATCTGTTTGGATGAGATAAGTTGTTCTGTATGAAATATGGTCTGTGTTAGGTTTGTAGAAGCATATGTTAAGTAATTACTATGTGATTTGACTCTAGATAGTATTTAAATTATTACACACTAGCTGACCCGGCAAACTTCGTACCGCCTAAACATTTTTTCTCAACTTTTAAACCTTCCCTAGACTTCCACGAACCTATCAAGACCAAAATTAGCCAAATCAGTTCAGCCGTTCTCGAGTTTTAGCGAGACTAACGAACAGCAATTGATTTTTATATATATAGATAAGACAACACTGTTCTCCAAATGGAAAATTAATGATGGACTTATAATTAATACATTCACTTTTTGAGACATAAAATGCCCATCAGGACCATTTGGAATAGCAACATCGATAGTTAAGTCCTCTATCTACATTACATTATAACTATAAATTCAGAAGTTAAAAATTCAATAGCAACGTTTCATGGATTCATTTTGAAAGAAGGACCTGTGGCGACACATGTCACATGTCAACGGATGACGTCATAAAATCCTACATCGCACATGCAAAGTTTACATGCAAATTAACACGGATAGAAAATCCCAACGAACTACTGTTGGGCAGAAAGCCCGCCAGCCACGATCACCTCGCCTGGTCGGAGGATCCTCCTTTTCCGATCTTAGGGAACTATACACTTTGTTCCTTAAAGACCAAACTATAATAAGGACCATGATACGACATGACTTCATCATCATCTTTGACTGCCAACAGAAATCTGTCGGTCACTGGTGCT